TTGTTACGCAATAGTTTCAACGTGGCAGCAAATATATGCTTCTCTTTCTTTCTTTCTACTAGTGTTGAAATTATTTTGTCGCATTCATGTTATTTCACAACATGATGGAAAGAAGCAAGGAAAAGATTTTTTCCATTGTTTTATTTGGTTTTGGGTTCGACATAAAGCTGAATGTATGAATACACGAACATAGAATGTCAGACTATTCTGGTTTTTGAAAATAAATCTATTATCTGCTCTGTGTTGGCGCTATTGCTTCGTTTTTGAGCCCGCACTTACCTCTGCAGCTCACTCTCAAACGGAAAAACGTCCCTCCATTTACTGCTGTGTAATCGTAACAACTAACAATGTCAGGAGACGAACAACAACAATCGAAACCATATCCAGCCATAAAGTTCTCTCAACATTGCATTAAGCCATACAGCTGCGAGAGCATGTTTTCTTTTCTCGGTCGTTTCTCACCCGTCACATGGCAACCATACAGTTGCTCCTCGATTACAAAAACAAATACCGCACCAAAGAAACTACAAATTCGTGTAGCAACTTACAATATCTACTTTGATGCTATGTTCGCCGATAAACGATTTCCAGTCATCTTAAACCTCCTGGCATCTCGATCTGCAGACTTTGTATGCTTACAAGAAGTCACATTCTCTTTTCTTCTGTATATGAAATCTAATAGCTATGCTATGAAAAACTGGATCATCACGGACGATTTCAACGGATCCACATTCGGTAGAAACTCATGGTATGGTTGTGTTATCTGTGTCAATAAATCGAGATGGAATATTTCGAGTTGTAATATCGTGGATTTTGATGAATATACCACATTGGCCAGACGTTTGATCGTCGTGGAATGCTATGGAACGAGTGAGGATAATAAAGAACAAAGCGTTCGCATTGCAACAAGTCATTTTGAAAGTTTGAGTGACGGAAAGGATAAAAGAGGCGTGCAAGTCCAGATTTGCAGAGATGTGTTCAAATGCCCACTATCATCATTCGAGTCATCATCGTCCCTACGACAGCTCTCGTTAACATCAACAACAACACCTATAATACACACATTTCCAATCCTAAATATCCTCACAGGAGATTTCAATCTGTACGACGATGACGAACAAACCCTTCCTGAAAGCTATGGTTTCCAAGACTCCTACATCGACGTCCATGGCCAAGAAAACTCAAAGGGTTGTACATTCGGAATAAATTACCCATCACAAAAAAACAAGAATCAACGATTGGATAGAATTTGTTATTATACGTTCAATAGTAGCGAAAATACTCTAGTGAAGGGAATTATGTCTGAAACGTTTGGAAATGATCCAATTGAAGAGCTAACAGGGTTTGGAAGAAGGGGAGGAAATGTGTTTCCATCTGATCATTTGGGAGTTGTAGCAGTTTTGAGTGTTGAGGCCGACCGTGTGTGAGCGGCCAGCATACTGTACTACCAAAGTGAAATTCTGTAATATATTTTTTGGATTTTATTTCTCTTATAATTTCGAAAGGTGAAACGCCCAGAGTAGAGGTGCACAGTATAACCCTACCCTACTCTACCCTATACTATTAGGATAGGTTAAGGGTACAAAACATTTTTATAGGACAGGGTACAGATTGCGACGTTTGTCATAGATTGTACCCTGCAAGGTAAAGAACGCTTAATACTGGGAGTTATTCACTCCCTCATCAGTCATGCTGTCATCTATCGAAATCTCAATTTGTTGTCTCGATCGTTGTTCGGAGTTCCTTTGAGTTCGGCCACATCAGAAAGAATATTCAGCACTACTGGCCGAATGCAAGAATAAAGATAACAATCCTTGAATCCTGACGTAACTGACGACATATTGTTATCGCACAATTTCGGCAGTAATAAAATGTGTGTGTATTACTTTTGAAAAAAATTGTAGGTAGAAAGCGAACTTCGATGATCGAAGTTCGTGCTCCATGCTCGCCAAATGTACTGATATCGATAAAACATAATTCACGTACCTTATCGCAAAGTTCACATTTATAATCATTTGTGAATGTTTGTTCAACATATTGATGAACTCGGGATGCAGAGCTGCTGACAAATTTCAACTTTATTGTTTGGATAAACTCGTCTTCTGCCTTATCACTGAGGTTCGCATAATCGTCATCGTTATTCGCTATTGTTCTGCTTTGTGGTTGAGTAGTAACATTTTACTTGCTTTTGTTATTTCGTAAACTATCACCACGTTTGAGAACAGGTGTCGACGATGCAGAATTATTAACTTTTTCTGCTAGCTTTATACTTGTACGTTTACCCATTTTGATAAAGTACAACTTTCTAAAACATTGTAGCATGTACTTGTTCTAACTGAACTATTCGTAACACGACGGTGCTGCGCCGGTATAGAGTCGTGTGCAGATGTGAAAGTTAAAGACTTTTCTCGATTGTATAAGAAGCTAACGGTTGCAATCGTATCTTCTTAATGAGTAATCAAGTCCACGTCATAGGGAAGCAAGCTTTGTAACTTTTGTAATGAATTTCCCTAGAAATTTCAAAAGAACTGATAACCAGTTCTTAAGAACTATAGGAACTGGAACTGTCCCACCCCTACTTCGATCGCTGAATGATCCTGTTTTACTTCTACTTTCTTATGTGTAGGATAGGGTACAGGGTGCAAAGTGTCTGAAGTCAATAGAGTAGAATAAGGTACGGTACAAGAACTTTTGTAGAATAGAGTACAGGGTACAAAAGGTCATATCCTCCATATCTGTAGCTCAGAGTTCTTCTCGAAAGCTTCAAAGTAAAGAGAAAAGTGTGCTAAAGATTTTAGATGTTCCTGCAGTCTGCACGATCGTTCTTCAAAACTATGATCAAAATACAAACACCTAAAAGGTAGCTGTTTGTATTTTAATCATAGTTTTTGAACGACGCTTTTGTCATCACTTTTGCATTATTGTACTACTACATTATTTATTCCAATGCAAAACATCCTCCGAGATTTTTCAAATAACTTTTCATAGAAAACAGACGGAGATCTACACTTTTGGCCAAGACTGGACAGCATTTTCTTATGACAGAAGATATTTAAATCCTTTTGCAAAATTTTCTAGGTCACATAATAAGTCGCAGAAAGAACCTAAAACGAAGGCGGGCTGGACCAATTAAGGTGCTATTTGATGTATAAGTTGCTCTTTTATGAGACATATGAAAAAAATAATCTTTCTGGCGCAAGGTTTCCGAGAAAATGGCGAGATTTTTACCGCCTGATTACAAATACAGTTTATTTTAGAAAAACTCTACAACGATATAATCTTAAAACACGGTCGTCTTTAAAACACTTCAAGGATCATTTTAGAAGATGAAATTTTAAACGGAATGGCTATTGCCACCACCGGTGGTGTCAACAAGGAGCTATTGCCACCACCGGTGGTGTCAACAAGGAGCTATTGCAACCACCAGGTGGTGTCAACTACAGCTATTGCCACCACTAGGTGGTGTCAACTACGACTATTGACACCAGCATGCAAAATCAAAGAGTAGGTGGTGTCAACTACGGCTGTTGACACCACCATGCAAAATCAAAGAGTAGGTGGTGTCAACTACGGCTATTGATCAAGCTAATTTTTAAGAATGGGGCTGTCTACTGCTGAGGGGTACGTAATCCTGAAGGCTATCGGTTTTGCAACTTCTAGGGCCATGTTTAATGACTTTCATGTTCTTTTTATATCAATTTAAGTTCTTTATTTGTTCTGTGATAAATACACATTAATCTGCCTTGCTATCTGTCGAACCGTTTATGCTGTGGTTTACCGTTCTCATCAAGTCGCCAACCATAAACAAAACGTTTAGAAATTGACTTTTTCGGAATTGCTGGAGAATCGAAATACTGGAAGAAATAAGACGTGTAAGCTCTTTTTGATATAGAAAAAGGCTAATTATTTTATTTAAAAATAATGTAATCATCTACGCACTGTCGATGTTTTGTGCTAACATAGAGGTTTTACATGGCAATAATCACCGTAATTTGGGATAAATTTTCCATTTGTTTCTGTGAACCAGTAACAAATGTGGTACAGATTGGCCTACGGATTCTAAGTGCATTGATGACTGTTTCTTAATTTCACTTTACAACTATACAGATTTAAAAGCTCATGAAAGATTTTTTCAGAAAAAAACAGTGATTTGGTAACCAGAAACAGTTTACACATCGTCTAATTCAATACATTTCGATAAACTAGCTCCACCAACACCCTTGTCGATCTGATGATTCGTAGCAATGAGTATTTCGTGGATGAATCAGCTATGGATTCTAACTTACAATCTTAATTTTGTTCGTATCACAGTTACTTTCGCTAAGGAGATTAAGCAGATTCGTCAGAAAAGCGTCGCTATTTTTTGTGTACGGGAGAAGATTTATAATTGTCTGGTTGTTATGTTTTATTTTAGCTTTCTCATCGCGACTTTTACCACTTTTCAAAAATTTCTTTTAAGCCACTTTTTCTGTTTGCCTTTTTTTTTAGCAAGATTTCTTTTTAGGTAATTAGCTGCACGAATAGAGTTACACTTGGCGTTCGAACTGTTAGTGTTATAAGTTAATTTAATAAAGTACGGTAAAGAAGAGAAAATCACTTATTCATAAGTTGTTTACTTTACTGTTGCTAGGTTTTTTCTATCTGTCTCTCCATCTTCCTCGTAATCTCGGTTTGCAGATTTTATTCCGGTGACACACAAAATCTGTTATAGGTGAAAAATTTGTACATTTTCTTTTTTCTTTCTACTTGAATAGACACGATAGGCTAAAACTGTACATGGTTTTCCTTCTTTCCAGATATATCATGTCTATTTAAGAAAAAAAGAGAAAATGTACAAATTGTCTACCTATAATAAGTTTTGTGTCACCCAGAATAAAATCTACAAATAGAGATTAAGAGCGCGATGGAGAGACAGAGAAACATTCTAATAACGAACTTTTATTTGAATAAATTTGAAAATAGCTTGCATTTCTTCAACCCATCAATTTCAGATTTCTAAAATGTATGAATCACTAATGCCTTACAAATATCTTGAGTATGAAAATATTAATAGGAAAAATAATGGGATTGTGGCGAAATTAGAGAAGTACGTCGGCCTTGAAAACAATGTTTTATATTCAGCAAGTTTCACTACCACATTATCATCTGATGGTACATATATTAATAAAATCAGTCAATATCTTTTGGAGAATCAAAAGTATTTAGAAAATAAACATATCATTAATTGGTGTTCAAAATGTGTACCGCTTTACTCAATTCAAACGAATGGTAATTTCCATCTGTTACACACAAAATCAGAGTTGTGTATGAGATACTTTACTTTGTGACCACATGCAGTGAAGAGCTGACACAGATACTGTTTGCTGTCAGATTGGTTTTCGTCCGCACTAATTTCTTTTCCTACATGAAATTAGTTTTTTTTGCGACTGACAATCTAAAGTAAAAGAGTAATCCTTTGTGCCAAGCCTTTAGAAGAGACATATACAGGTGGCTTTAGCGGATTAATTAGCCTTGAAGCAAATCAAAAATAAAAGCAACCTTCTGTAACTAGCTATAGCAATAAAAGTTATTTTTTTAAATCAGTATAGAGATTATCAATCATCTAATTTAGGTTTTGAATAACTTTTTGTTCTATAGGAAAAGGAAATTGTTTGGTTGATGCCTGTCTTCTCACAATGATTGATATTCAAGTTAGTTCATTACCTCTTCGTAAACATTTATCTGATTACATTAGATTAAATGAAATAACATTACGTGATCGGTGGAGATATGCAAGAATATCGTATGACCAAAAACCAGGATTAGGCATTGATTTAGATGCTAATCTACTTGATCAAGTAAACTAGAAATAATTATCTGTATAAAAATCCGTTAAAATATTTTTTTTGCGAAACAATCGTTGGATGTTTGTTGATTTTATATCGTTATTAACTACTGAAAAAAGTGTGATGCAAAATCACACAAAAAAAAATTGAGGAATTTGTATTTCCTCTAGGACAGTATATGCTCAGCATTAGTATACATGAAATTGCTTTTTGCTCGCTAATCAGAACGATGTCAAAGTTTTCTAAATCGGATAATTTAGCATACTTTTGGCTAAAAATATTTCTAGCAAGAGCTAAATTATCAGGAAAATCTCTGAAAAAAGGAGAGAGCGAAGTCACAATTTTTTTTGCACAAAAAATTTATTAATAAACAAAAATAAACTAAATGCTAGTATGACGAGCGTCAATTTGAAAACGTTTGAAGGCGGACTTTTAATTATTTTAGGAATGGAAAGCCATTGTTAGAGAAGCGGAAGTAACAAATGATGGTAAATGTACACTTTTACAATCATACAATATTTTATTATTTTATATATTCTATTTTATTTTTATTATTATCTAAATCCTCTCTGCAGACTGGTCAGACAAACGGACTGGATGAACTTCCTCACAATGTATATGAAGATATATGGTAGACCATCTAAATACTTTGACGTGTATGTAAAAATAGCTTTTTAAAAAATGAGTTTTGTAATGTTGTATAACGTGATTAAGAGAAAAAAGGAGAAAAAAAATTCTTTAATAAACATTGCGATCTCGGAGTGAAATCTACTTTGTCAAAGGAGAGCAATGAATTAGGACCTATGTCATAAAGAGGTTTTGGTGAAAATACTAATCTTACTTTATCTCTTCTTGTACGTTGCTGACTAGGTTCAACTTTTGTTACTTTTCTACCTTTAGCTGACCAGTTTTGTAGTCTTAATACACTAGAACTTTTCTCTATCTAATTGTATTTAATACAGAGTAGAGTGATAATATTTAGTGCTTCAAAAATGAACTAGTGATTCTTACAGCTACTCGTTGAAAAGATACGTCGAAATTGAGAAAGTAAGTATTTATAGTCAAATTATCATTGTGTGGTAACTAATTCAATTATAATCTGTCTTCTCTTTACTCCATAACAAACACAGTTACAAAAGGAAGCTTCAATAGAATCATGTTACTTTTATCAACGATATTTTTAATTCTCTTCATTCAACTGCTCGACGCATGGATTCCATTTCGATCGAAATCCATATACTTTTGTTCTGTCGATTATGGACTCATTACTGACAAACAAAAAGAACAGCTGCACAACGTAATCATCGATGATACGTGTAAGTTATTTAGCCTTTGCTACGCCTATCAACTCTGCCACTAATTTACACTATTCAATGCGCTGCAAAAGCAGTTCCAGTTCCACAATTCCGTGAAAATTACTAGAATTGGCAGAATTCAACACATTCAAAGATGTACTGCTCCCAAGATTCTGTTCAGAATCTGATTGAATTTGGTTAGAATTCCAATTCTGGTGCTACCAGAATTCGACCAGAATCTGATAGAATTACAGCAATTGGGCTAGAATTTACTAATTCGTAGAGAGTATCTATAGTGGGTTATATCGTTTCACACTTACATACTCTACGAATTGGCAGATTCTGGTTTAGTTCTGCCAGAATCTGGGCGAACTCAGAAAACCAGGCTTGAATTCTGGTAGAATTCTACCAGAATCTAATCAGAACAGGGACAGATTCTGGCAGAATTACAGCCGAATTGAATCAGAGTCTGCCAATTCGTAGAGAGGATCCGTAGAGAATTATAATAGTTCACGCTCAGATCCTCTCTACGAATTGACAGACTCTGGTTCAATTCGGCTGTAATTCTACCAGAGTCCGGTCCAATTCTAGAATTTTACCAGAATCTAACTAGAATTAGACCAGATTCTGGCGGAATTACAGCAGAATTGAGCCAGAATCTGTGAGGTGCATGAGAGTGAGCAGCGATACTCTGAATTCTGCGATTTTCCACGGAACTGTGAAAGTTGATACCACTCGACAAAAGCTTCGTTCCTATTGAAATGAATATTTTATTTTATTTTCATAGATAGAGTTAGAGTGTAGCATATCTATATACCGACGAGTTTGAGACACTGACTATGCACATTGTGTTTGTTCCACTGTCTGCTTCTTCTCTGAGCATAGAAAAAATATGTGAAATACATTCTTGAATGACGTTTTGTGAGATAAGATATGGTTGGTTTCTAGCTCTGCTTGATTTGTTGGCTGTGCGGTTTCGATTGTTTATTTGAAGGAGTGCCAGGCGTACTCAATCGCATTGAATTCGGATGAGTCAGCTGCCCAATCTAATAATTTAATTCTGTGATATAAACGTCGACGGATTGCGGGTGTCTAATGTGATTTTAATCCACGAGCTACGGCATGACGACGACATTATGTACATGTGGACCAAAATGAGGAGCTAATAAATGTTAATATAAGGTTTGATTTATATAACCGCCGTATCTTGTGAATATTTTGCCATTCGATTGAACTGAGCACGAAGAAAAGAGATTTCATGTGTTGGTGTCAGTTCTTTACCTGGCTCAAAGAATCATATAATAGGAACATATGGGATCCTTGTTAGATCCTAGAATGAGATCTTGTCTGATCTTATTTGATCCAATGGAATCATAGGATCTTATAGGAAAGACGTCTGACATCTTCAACCAAGAAATGATGTAGAATTCCTATAATAGGATCCAATAAGATCCTACAGTAGGAATTTATACGATCATACAAGATCCCACACGATATTATAGGATCTGATAGGATTTTACATGATCAGCTAAGATACGATAGGATTGCGCCGATTTTGGCACTTCCGTACTCTTGTTTCTACTTTCTTCTGCTTTGTTCTCCGTTGTTTATCCGATGTTTTTGGCTGTTATTTTCTAATGTATTTCTTTATTGACCTCTAGTTTAATGTAGTACATAGAAAAAGCACGAAACCGTTATGTAACAAGGATAAAAAACAACGTACACAATTGTTGTACATCAAGTTCATTCATGCGGTAAGATCATGTAGGATTCTTACTATAGGTTCTATAGGGAGTATCGCATAGTCCTCCGGAAACTCCAGGAATAATCCTATCACACGAAATAATAGGATTCCACAGGATCTTGTAGAATCAGATAAGACCTTAGTAGGTTTCACCCACGCGATTATATCTGAGTCTTATCAATGAAAAACCACTTCTTGGCATCATCATTCTGTTGTTCTACTGAAAATAAATGACGTTTTTCAGTCTGGGCTTGCTGTTGATCTGATTCTGATCTATTGTTTTCGTGAACAAAACCGAACAGCTCTACCATATCTTTGTGACGTGCGTCCGCAGACTCGAGCGCTAAACTACTTGAAGACATAGTTAGAAAGTTGATAGGAAGTTGCAATTGGATATTTCGAGATATAATTGTCGAGTAATTGTTGTTGTTCTGCGGTGCGAGACGTTCGGCGACATGGACTTTCGCGCTTAGTAAACAATCTTGTACCATTAAAAATGAACAAAAAGACGACTCATTGTTCGACGATCACAATGGAATTGATGCGCTATTGTATTGAGTTTCTTCGTTGGCTTTTGTGCTTCTTTCGCGATAAATAAACATTGTTTGTGTGTCAGATGTTGCATTTTTTACGTTTTTTATCATTTAATTAATTCGAATATAAGCGACAAGAAATTGTCAAGTTGGATAGGAGTAACAAATTGTCAGTGAGTAACATATGTAATAATGGTATCATCTTTTCTTATGTTCTTATTATATATAAGATGAACGAGTTTATCTGCTGGCGAAACTTTTCTCGCGCACCGGTTATAGGGCAACAGTGTTGTGGATTTAAACAAAATATATCAAAGAAAATGAAAGATGGCGGAACAACTTGGATAGTTCCATTAAAAATTCGATCTGATAAGAAGAAACAAGAGCATCGACTTAGTAAAGGTTTTCAACGTTCATCAACAAGATACTGTACAGCATCGATTGTATCGTCGTCTCTCGCGTTGGCCTCTTCTGAATGCGTAGGCACCAGTAACGGAATATCGTTTGGAAAGCAAACAGTCACGTTTGGTACTTAACCATAGAATGAGTCAAAAGATTAACTTTGTTGACACGGTGTCTCATTGTTTATAGATCGTAGACTATCAAACAGTAGTATGGCTCTATTCAGACTTTCTCAACCAATAAAATTTCATTTAAAATCACCACCAGTATGTGCAGCTGAAATTTATGCTGAAATTGATCAAAAACAACGTACAGGAATTCGATGCTCAGTGGTTCAGGCAAAGCCGAGAAAAAAGATTTCATTTGTTACTGAACAAGCAATGACTCTGGTATTGTAATGTTTTTGTATTTTTTGCATTAGAGTTAAGAGTTATATCTGAAGAACTTGTGTATTCGCCTTCTTCTAATAACGAGTGATGACCGTTCTACTAAAAATATAAATACACTAACTGCAAGTAGTTCTCTATTTTTAGGCAGAGTTCGCACATTTCATAAAATCAAAAGTTCCACAAGTATTACAGAAGAAAAACGTTCGTGATGGGTCGGTTCAATGTCTACTTACATATCAGGACGAAACAGAAGTCAAATGGACACAAACCGGTTGGATTTATCAATCTATCTTCTTGAATCTATTTCATAACAAATTATTATACTTGATCCAAGACGGTGAAGAAAACGAAATACCAAATTATATCATGCAAACGATTGCTTTGATTCGAAAATACGGTATGATTTATTTGTGAAAATATTTCTTATTACTCTGGGGCTATCGAGGACGAATATAACCACATAACATGTACAGTTGACAAGTCTATGTTTTTAGGTTCGGATGTTTCCGGTATTTTTCGATTATCTCCAACAGTCTCTGGTTTGAAGAAAGCTATGGAAGATTTTGAAACAGGTATAATAATCGGCTGATTGTTAGACATTTACAGATAAGTCACCTTCATACTTATCTATCGCAGACAAAATTGATTTTACTCCGAATCTGCCATTCAATTCAGATTAAGGTATATCATACATCTGACCGAAATTACTCTCTATATACTGCTGTAAAGATTCAATTCATAGAAAAATTGTATCCACGTTCATAGTTCTCGTTTTTTAAAGGTGAAATACAGCAATATGATGACAAGGAACATGTCATTACGGTTGCAGCTGTATTAAAACAATATCTACATAACAGGCCACCGTTAGTGCCAGTGCGATTATATAATCAGTTGCTTACAATCCAAAACGGTAAGCACAGATATAAACTACTTGTGAAACACACCGATAATTAGTTGAATTCGATTGTTCAAAAAAAACGATATACGTACAAATATTTTCTGAGTTATTTGCATAAAAGTAGCTGTAATACAGTTCGAATCAATAAAATTCTTAACATCTTTCTAAATATATAACTTGTCTATCTTCTCATTTTGCTTTCTTATTCCCGTTATGCGTTTAGATCTTTTAGTCTTCATACAGTCAATGTGTGAGTGACTGTAACTTGTAAAATAACTAAAAGAAGTAAAAATCTAAAAGGCATATTTAGTTATTTATCACTATATCTGACATAACAGGTTATGCATAAGTTTTGCAACAAATGTCGAGCGCTGCTTCTCTATGCTCTTATTATTCTGGAAGCTTCACTTTCTTTTTGTTTGAAAGAACAAAGTCTAACTCATGGAACGTGTATTAAATAAAATTATCTCTTACAAAACCCCATTGAAAAAAATGTAAAAACTAAAGATCACTAAAAATCTTCTGGTAAATCCTCAAAATGTCCACTCTCCTATCTTCTTCGAAACGGTTCTTTTCTCGTTTAAGGATAAGCTTGAAAGATGACTGATTATTACATCTAAGAAAGGTTGAAACGCTCTTTCGAATGGTGTGAAATACATTTCCTTTTTATGTAGTTTCTGTGAAGAAATAATCGTTTATTTTGGCACCGTTAGAAAATCAGTTAATTTGCGTTAATTACCAATTCTTGAATTAACAGATGAACTTTTTTCCAATTTCTGGACGATTAAATGATCTCCATTCAATTTTCTGCAACCTAATGTAAAACATAATCTAATCGCATTCACTTCGTATTTTATGTGCTGCTTTTGCTGAAAGTCCTAATTGCTAGACGCAAAATCTCGATTTTCAGAAAATCTGACTGTTAGAAAGCGTTCAGAAAATAAAAATAAAACTAATTTCAGAATAGTAGGAGCATAGAGAAACAGCGCTCGACATTTGTTGCGAAACTTATGCATAAACCGTTACTTCGCATCTCGAGACAAACTTTGTATCTTCTCCCATCTAAACTCTTGCGGGGCAGCCCCGAATCCCATTCCGTCTGTCCCGTCTCGTAGGACAGACGGGGTCGGGACAAAAAAAACTTATGGGCTTGGGGCAAGAAAATAATTTCACGGGCTCAGGCTTATGGGGTCGGGACATGTTGCAGAAAAATGTTGTCCTGTAAGTTTTGTCTTTTGGTTGTAATTATACTGCAACTTCAAATGACCCAGAATAAATGGCCTTCCTCATAGTTTGCTTATAATTTTTTTCTTTTCAATCCTTAGATCTGGTCGTTCATCCAAAAGATACGCCGTCAAATTCTCTACAAAACTTGATTAAACTTATTTCTATAAAAAGTTGAGAAGAAAAATGAAACGAAAAATATTCAACATGACGAAAGGACCAACTTTCTAAGCTATTTTGTTTTACAAATTTTGGAATATTTTAAACAAGACTAAAGACAATGAAACAAAACTGAAGATATTTTTGAGTACTTTAAAGTACGCTCTTTCTCCTTATGCAGTTCACAGTTCGTTCAAATCTAAGTTAGCACTGAAAAATCTGACATTCCAAAATTCACCTCAAGATGACCAAAATCTGCTATTGCTCGGCAGGTGAATTTATGAAGAAAGCTTTAAGGTAACTTTCGTAGCTGAGTCTAGCACAAGTATCATTTCTCATCAAAATTAAAAAAGACCGAGCTAAAAAGGTGCTATTTTGGTGCTAGATTGATTTTGCATTGTGCATGGATTACTGGTTGATAGAGGTTTTCAATGGCTACAAAATGCGTGTATTCTCTTCTTTTCATCATCCAACTCAATGAAAGTGGTGAAACAAAACGTTATTTCAGCTTAGAAAGTTGGTCCTTTTCATCGTATTGAGTATTCTTCATTTCATTTTTCTCCTTAACTTGTTATAGAAATAAATTTGATCACGTCTTGTAGAGAATTCGATGGTGCATCTTTTGGAAAAACAATTGAAAAGAAAAGAAATTATATGTAAAATATGAGGAGGGCCATTTGTTCTGGGCCAGCCAGTACTATCACGTGAAAACC